AGAGTTATGAGGCTTCTATGGGTCAGGTGTTTAGTTTCAGCAGTAGCTCTGTAGCAGCCTAACAGCTGTCCACCTTTTTAAAAGGAGGTACTTGGTGCCTGCAAAGTACACTGCTGTACTGGGAAATGGCCTGAGTACTCCAGCAGTCACCAGGTTTTCAACTAAATCTGTGGCTTTCATCTTTCCTCTTAGAATTCTATATTGTTTTTGTTAGACTACCCAAGAGGAGACAGGGGTCCCTTCTCTCTATGCCGTAGTAGCCGCAGAATGGGAGACTTAAGAGCATTCACAGTTCAATCAAATGTCCAATTGCTCTCAATAACACATTGATGCGAAAGCCACAAAACATTAGTACATTGAATCCATTTAGAGGCTCCCTCTACAGGTCGTTTTAATTTTCCTTTCCCATTGCAAACTGCGTCCAAACCTCACCAGCTGAATTCAGGTACTTTCCCCCCATCACGGGAACCCAAACCAAGTAGTTTAAAATAGGTATGTTGCACGCCACAGCCACAGCCACCAAGAGATTCTGCTCTCTCCCAGCCAAGAGTGTGGGGACATCACAGGAGTGGGAGAGGCTAACCTACAGGCTGGGTCCGTGAGAAGAACTTTGCTCCTGACTCCTCCAGGGTCAGTGCTGCCTCTTCCCTTGTGTACCTCTTGGCTCCGATAAGCACCTGCAGCTCAGGGACTGTTATTTTGGGTTTTTTTTGCCCCCGCTGCACACCACTGTGCATCTGCCTCACAGTCCTTGGCACTTTTGACCATTCCTGTGCCCAGGGCTCCCTGTCCCCATGGGGTGAAGGAGGATGGTGACTTACTTATATTCAACAGAGCTAGAAAAGAGGAATCCCTCCCCTCCTCAAAGATCCCCCAGCATACACAGCTTCTTTCCTTAAAGTAGGAGAGGGAGCAAGAGGGATCAGGTCATGTACTTACGTTTGCTTCAAGTGGTTACCTGCTTGGACTCCTAATGTTTTGGGTCCACTCAAAGCTCTACATCCTTATTGCTGACACCACTTATTTCACCTGTGGGGAAGCCTTTACGCATCAGTCAGCCATACTGCCTTCAGCTGGGGCCACAGGCTTGCTGCCTCATTGTCAAAACATCCTTTCCTCCTCCTGCCCCAGAGAGAATGAGCAACAACCTAAGAACCGGTTGGACAATGTGTTTCAATCCTACCTCTCACTGCTCAGCCTCAAAACATTCATTAACACATAGGACAACTAGGGACCCTTATTCCTCTCCTCGCTCAGCAACATTTGCTACCAGACCCCAGGTTATCTTCTCATATCCTCACCTGGCCCATGACCTTTCTCTTCTGGAAAGCCTTGTCTGTCAGGATCCCATCCTTGTTACCAAACTGTCAAGAGTAGTCTATGAAGGATCTCAAATTTTATCCTATTTGCAGACTAACAAGTTAACCTATTATTTTTTCATGGATACTGGCAGATGACATGAGACTCCTGGATCAAAGAACTTTATTACTTATAGTGCAGCAAGCAGCAATGCCAGTTCCCCCTACACCCCGCCCCAACAAAAGTGACGCAGATAGGCCTTGATGGATGCCTACACGTGCAGTAGGTTGTGTCATGGGAAAAGAACCCTGAGCTTGGGGGAGTCAACACTTATAGTGAACAGTGGGCAAACCTGCTCCCAGGGAAGAGACATTACCTCCTCTCTCAAGATGGCTCACTATCAACAGAACACTGAGATACAGCCCAGGAAAAGAGTCGTCAGGGTCTTGCATTCATACGAAGCAAGAACGTGCAGGGATGCTTAGGGCTCATGGCAGATTGCCTCTCCCAACACTTTCTCATTCTCCAGTGGGTCACCTTTGACAGCATTATAAACCAAATCCAGGGCACTAAGAGCCTGAATACTGATACTGAATACTATTCAATACTAATCAGCAGTTTCCCAGAGGAGTTTGTCAGTCACAGGGAAATCTCCCCCAAAGAGCCAAAGCTCCCTTACAGCAGCCAAGACCCACTGCAAAAAATTTTGAGACCTTTACTGTTGTCTCTGACTGGATCTAAGGTTGGCACGATAAACTGCAGGAGGGGGCTGGCTGCCAGACAATCTAACAGCTGCCATCCCTCCTCACCCAAGCAAACCAGCCAAAGTTCTAACAATTCACCTGGTTTCTGTTCACAGAAGCAGGGAACTTCCCTCCTTTCATGCTTGTGTAGGTGTGTGTCTCTGTAACTGCTGTCTGAAAGGAAGAGGAATCTGCTGCCCACCAGGGATGAATATTAGTGTCAGTAGTTACGATGGGGCAAATCTGAAGGTGACTGCCGGATTAGTCAGGAAGTCCTCCTGTTCAGAGGAAAGTGAGCACCAAGCAGCACACCTCCTGAGCAATTGTCTTTGAACCTACTTCCCGGTACTAGGAGCCTATAACCACCTCCCGAATCCTCATTAGCAGGCAATAATATATTTAAAACATTAATCTGAGAAAGGGGTCATAGACAACACCAGACTGTCATAAAAGATCCATGGCATAAAAAGAGGTTAATTACCCTCATCAATTATTCTTGAATAATTGTGGATATCAGAGGAGTCACCTGAGCACATGTGCTTTCAGGCTGGATTGTTAAGAATATTCTATTTAATAACATTGGAGAGGGGACAGGATATTTTACAAAAAATATTGTGGTATTAGCAGTTTCCCCAGGTAACTTCCACCAGGGAGACAAGGTTTGGGAAGGGGTGTCTAGCCAGGAGTGGTAATATGACAGAGAGTTGGTGAGAGAAAGCTCTAAATTGAGTGGGAACTTGGACCCAGAGAAAAATATAACTTGTGTGTATTCAAAGGACCTTTTGCATTTTCTTCCATTCCCTAAGGTTGTTCTGAAGCAAAAAGATTGTTTCTAAAAATACATACAGCACCAATTGTCAAATAAACATTAGCAGCTCAAATTTACAAATAATGAAAAACACAGCTGTCTTTCCCCACTCTCCTCAGCAGTCTTAAATACTTGGAAGACCTAAGTTCTTCCTCGGCAGGTGTGAGGAGTTGAGAGTCAAGAGGAAAATGTGATGGATGTCAACATTTCCTGGTGGAAGGGGTGCTACAGACCTACTAAAGAGAGTAAAGAACAGCCCAGCGACATTCAAAACTGGCTGGAGTGACCACTCAGTTGATGCACGTGTCAAAAGCTGGCTAGAGGTGCTCTTCAGCCTCACAAATTGCACCCATGCTGAGGCTTGAGCCTGTTCAAGTGATAAACTATCACTTGAAACTATAGGAAACTATCCTAGAATACCACAATTGGGTAGGGGGGTGGGCTGGGGTGCACGCAAGATGACCGCATGGCTGGGCTACTAACCCACTTCTTTCTTTATCAAATGGATACTGCCTCAACTGGTCAGGGAGAAACCTTAAGATAGCCATGCAGCCTAAGAAATCTCAAAGTGGGGTTTATGGGCAGATTTAAGGGATTATAGCATTCATATTCTTTGTAATCAGAGATGTTTCATATGTAGGCATTTCTAGGGAGTAAGAGCCTTCATAAATCTCAAGGTATACATAACCTAAAACCTCTTTGACAGGTTCAGACACTTAGTCCTAGAGAAGAAATGAGATTCGCCCAAGGTCACAAATTAAAGCTGAAAACTCAGGTCTCTGTCTCTCACTTGAGGACCTCTTCTATTCCCCCTCTTCTATTGACTCCTTCCTTAGGATAGTGAAACACTAGAAGAAAAACACAGCCAAGAGTTAAACCATTAGTACTATGGAATGCAGCTATTAAAAATGCATTTGAGGGCTTCCCTGGTGGCGCAGTGGTTGAGAGTCCGCCTGCCGATGCAGGGGACACGGGTTCGTGCCCCGGTCCGGGAAGATCCCACATGCCGCGGAGCGGCTGGGCCTGTGAGCCATGGCCGCTGAGCCTGTGTGTCCGGAGCCTGTGCTCCGCAACGGGAGAGGCCACAACAGTGAGAGGCCCGCGTACCGCAAAAAAAAAAAAAAAAAAAAAAAAAAAGTGCATTTGACTTATGTATACTGACAGGGAACGTACCTAAGAAATATTAAGTTAAAAAAAAACAGAACATATTTCAACATAATTCAATTTTCGTAAAAAAAAAAAATACATGCTTATATATGTAAAGAAAACGATATAACTGATGTGAAAGAATTCCAAGGAGTCATCACGGAGAGGGTTATTCCCTGCCTATATCCATGAGCTTTGGGCCCCCTGTGTCTAACAGTAACTTCTTCACTGTAAGAATACGATTATCTGATTACATTTTCAAAAGCTTCAAGTAGCTGGCAGAATAGAATTTTCACCTGGGGGTGGGGGGGAGGGGGGGAGGCAACTAGAAGCTCAAAGAATTACATGGCCTACCCAAGGTATATGGAAATAAGAGTACAGAATCCAAGGCTTCAACTCCCTGTCTAGTGATGTTCTACAGTCCCACACTGCATGGTGCTAAATAGGGCAACGTTCCCAAGTCAAAGAGGAAAATGTGATAACTGGGATTTCTTATAAGCTGATTATAGTTTTAGGTACCAGGCTCAGCTGGAATTGTATTTATGTAAGACTAGAGGGACAATATTCCTATAGGTCACAGGATCTGGGCAACTGCCCAGTTCTTCTCTGACCATAGTGGGAAAATACTAGAAACGGTGCTGCTCACAACTCTGGAGCCAGACACAAGAGGTTCAAATCCCAGCTCTAACATTAGCTATGTGGCAAATTATTCAATTTTTGTGCCTCTGTTTCCTCATCTATAAAATGGAGATAATATCAGTACCTACTTTCTTGGGACAGTTGTGAGCACTAGTGAGTTAATACATGTAAAGTACATGGAACACTACCTGGCACAATGTAAGTACTGAGTGTCATTACTGTTATCACTGGAAAGCTAGCAGTTCTTCACCTACAGGTTCTCAAGGGCCTCTGACCAGTGAAACAGCCTAGAAACAATAGGAATCTATAGCAGTTAGACTGTTAACATGTGCTGCTCTGTTCCTTCCATCAAGACTATGACTCCATTTTTTCACATCTTCTTTCCTTTTATTGAAAAAAATTTTAGAAAATGGCAGTTGATAAAGGGCACAAACAAATCAACAGGGATATACTAGTGGAAAACATAGACAAAATAAAACTAAAAATGCCATAGGCTTCTTTAATTGGTTAAGAGCACAAAATGTAACAGGCAGAAAGTAGCTTTTAAACAAATTAAAAAGCTGTGGGGTTTTTTTCCCCAATTCTCCCCAAGTCAGATATATACACACCCACAAAAATGGTGTGTGAAGGAAAACTGTCATACACAAGAAGTTGTATCCTGAATTAAGGGAAACAGCTGTTGAAATGGGAATTAACACAATAAAGTCAGCAACAGGTTAACAATTTAAAAAACTGAGTCTTCAAATGCTGCATGGCACAAAGCTATACTATATAAAGTACTGCTAAGTATGAAGGAGGAAGTCTGTACGGTTTTTAGCAAAAATGCTTTTCCAGAAAAGCAAATCAAAACAATGCAATCAGCAGACCAAAGAGGCTACAGCTAGATATCAGAGCTACAACTTCTCATATCTGAGCTAGAAAATTCTATTTATACAGAATGGACTAAAATTTCAAGACAAAACGGACATTTTTTACATTTCTTACTTTATCCATATTAAGTTCTCTGTTTCTTTCTCCCTCACCCCTCAATTCAGCATGATCCAGCCAAAAGATGGCTGCTTTTAGAAGTGGCTATTTTATTTTTCTTTCTGTGGCAAGACTGTCATGAAGCCTGGATATCTCAGGCTCATATGCATCCATGACCAGCGTCCCGCTGTGGTCAAAAAATTTAGCAATGGATTTGGTGAACTCGGCTTCTCGTTGTTGCTTTGTTCTTCCACTGATGAAGGTCAGCTTCAGAGTGTATTTGTCATCGAATCTAAGCAAAGATAACAAATCAAAAACCAAACACAGACATTCAGCCAGTAACAACAGAGCACCAAGTGTTTTTGAAAAATAGGGCTGAGCTGGCTACCAGTGATATAGGGAACATACAGCATTATCCTTTCCAGAAAAAAAAAAAAATTCCAGGGCACCTTCAGGATAGAAGTTCTGGTTCATAGGCATTGCCATGTCTTCCCTGATTTAATTACTGTGTGCCTCCTTTACCTTGTCATAGATTGTTAAACCACACGGACCATCTTCTCTCACTGCTGGCCTTTGCTTTGTTATGCTAGAAGAGTATTCCTAGTAGACACTTTTCTCCAGTCTCACCTGATTAATGAGACTAATTTGTCTGTAACAAATGTTCCCATTTGTTAAGTTCATACTTGGGCATGAACTTTTCTGGGAAAACCTTCCCAAACTGGGTTAGATGTCTTGCCTTTGTCATCCATGCACCGTCAATTAATAGTCAACCCAATTACTCAGTGCCTATCATCTGCTAGGTCTAATGACAGGCTCCTATGCTGTCAGTGAAATTACCTATTGAAATGATAATTACGTATTTTTGTTCTTCACTAGTCTCAGGGATTCTTTTTTTTTTTTAATTTTCACATATCACTTGTGAAATTTATTTTTTTAATTTTTTAGCTGTACCATGCAGCATGCAATATCTTCCCTGACCAGGAATCGAACCTGTACCCCCTACATCGGGAACAAGGAGTCTTAACCATTGGACCACCAGGGAAGTCCCTGTCTCAGGGATTCTTCAGGGCAAGGATTTTGTCTTATTTTCTATTCTTAGCTTGGAGTTTGTTGGGCAATCAAATTTTTATTGATAAATGAAGAACCCTTGTTTTCACAGACATTCCCCAATTCCAGGCTGCTCAGTCCTTGTTCCCTGTAATCAATCTAGCTCCAGGTTCTACCCTGATCCCAGGCCAGGGATATCTTTTACTACATGAACTCCAGAGATCCCTTAGCTACACCTTAAGGTATCTTGAAGGCTTTTACTATCTCTACTTATTCAAGAGGGTTTATAACATCAACCCCTGGCAGGCTGACATTTCTCCCCACAACTGCACCTTGTTTCTGTCTCCATTTAATTAGGGCATATTCGGTGGACTGTCAGGCTGGTATTATCTTGAGAGGAAGCAGAGGCTTGAGCCTCTGCTTTTTTCTGCATGTTTCAAACAGGAAAAACACCACCTATTTTTCAGGATCACTGTTATGGTTATAACAGTGCCTATCATTAACCAGTGCTCAAAAAAATCATAGCTCAATAAATTGTTGTCTAGCCAGTTACTTCCAACCTGGATAGCTAGGAGTAAAGGTCCTTGAATATTTTCAACACCTCAAAAATTTTTCTCAAGCTCTGATCAACTGCTGCTAACACAGTAATTTTTGGACTTTTGAGCCCAGTTCCATGGCTCTGATGGCAGGACACAATCTAATGCATTTTTAAAAAGTTACTCATTAATTCAACAAATATTTATTCAGGACCAACCATATATGTCAGGCAGTTTTGGATGCTAAGGATATACATCAATGAACACAACAGACAGATCTGTCTTTTGAGACTTTTATCTTGTTGTGTGAGGGAACAATAAAATAAAAATTATGATATTCTTTTAAATATGGAAAGTCTTCACTAAGCAGATGTTTGAGCAGAGCCTAAAGAGGTAAGAGAACAAGCTATCTGGAAAAAGAATATTCCGGGCAGAGGACACAGTAAATGCAAAGGCCCTGAGGGAAGCACATGCCCAGAATGTCTGAAGAACAGAAAGGAGGCCAATGCAAACAGAATGGAGAGGGAGAGGATAAAAGCCACAGGAGATGCAGAGTGTGTGTCCATGGGTGTGGGGCTGCAGAGAATAGATAAGCATGGACTTCTAAGCTATGCTTAGGAGTTCAGTCTTTCTCTATGTGAGAGGATTTTGCCTGAGGATTGAGTTGATCTGCCTGACGTTTTAAAAGGATCATTCTGCCCACTGCACTGGAAAGAGACTGTGGGCAGGGAGAGCAGCTGCAGAGGTCCATTAGGACATTATTACAGTAACCTAATTGAGAGATGATGGCTGCAGTGGAGATAGTAAGTGGTTAGAATGAATATAATAAGAAGGTGGAGCTGACAGAATTTGCTGACAACCTATTCAAAGGATTGAGATAAAGGAGTCAAGATGATTCCAGAGTTCTGGCCTGAGTAACTAGAAGGATGGAGCTGCCATCTATTTAGATGGGGAAAAGCAGGTTTAGGTAAGGGATAGCAGAGTTAGGTTTTGGATATGTTAATTTTGAGATGCTTATTAGGATCCAATGTTAAACAGAAATCTGGGACATAGCTGGAGTTTGGAGAAGGTCTAGGATGAAAATACAGATTTAGAGATCTTCATCATTATAGATGGTATTTAAAGTCCTGAAAGTCTGGATAAGATTACACATAGTAAGTGAATACAGATAGAGAAGAGCTGCTAGGAACGAGCACTAGTGGCATTTCAAATTCAGAGACAGGGGATAATGAAGAATCACACAGGACTCTAAGGAACAGAGACACTAAGGTAAGAAGAAAATTAGAAGATTACGGTATCCTACAAGCCTAGTTTAAAAAAAATTTTTTTAACAAGGAGAGAGTGATCCACCGTTCAAATGCTGCTGACAGGTCAAATACGATGAGGAAAGAGAAGTGAAGATAAGCAAATCCAAGAGATGATGGGAGAAGAAAAAAGGGGAGCAGAGAAATGAGAAGACCATGTGAGGAGAATATGTGAAAAGAAAAACAACTTTTTCAGGTGGGAGAAATTACAACATATTTGTATGCCAGAAAGAATAACCAAGCAGAGAGGGAAACATCAAGTAAATGAGAAGGGATAGAATCTAGTGGACAAATGGAGAGGAGGCTTCAGATAGGAACTGAGAAAGAAGGTAGAGTATGATGAACACTGTGAGTGGATAACGATGGGAGAATTCTGACTGCTGCTATCTTCCCAGAAACAAAAGAAGCTGAGAGTGAAATGGGGGAGGAGGGCAAGAGGTTTGAGGATAGAGAATAAGGTATGAAAGATCCTCTAGGACAGTGAGAGAGTAACTGCACTACAGAAATACCACGGAATCTAAGCTAGGTAAGGAGGAAGTGAGACAATGAAGAGGACCAGGGAAAAGGTGGTAGGCTCAATGGATTACGGATGCCACTGGGGCTGAAGAACTGCTGGGACAAGAGAACAAGAAGGAGATAAACTAGAAAAATATAAAGCAATGGTCAGAGTGGGATACTTAAAAATGAAATTATTGAAGGTAATTAGTTATCAGTAATAGCAAGATCTAGGGTATGTCCAGGGAAATAAGTATTTAAGACATGGCAGAAAACAAGATAATCAGAGGAGAGGAAGTAAAACTAAGAGGCCAGAGTACTGGAATAATCATCTACTTGGATACTGAAATCATCAATCAAGCCTTCTGAAAGGAGCTATGTTAAAGAGAGTGCCAATGACCCAGGAGCCATCTCTAAGGAGAGGAGTGAGCCTGTATTTCACTACAACAAGAAGGAACAGAGGTGGCATATTTCCTTTCCACAGGCACCAACAACATGGCAGTTGGTAAAAGTCAGCAGTGAATGTGAAAAAAATCAGAACCCTCATATACTTAGTAGAATTGTAAAATAGTGCAGTTGTTTTGGAAAACAGTCTGGCAGTTCCTCAAGCAATTAAAAAGAGTTATCATATGATCCAGCAATTCCTCTCCTAGGTATATTATATGAGAATTTGTCCACACAAAAACTTGTACATGAATGTTCACAGCAGCATTATTCTTAAAGGCCAAAAGGTGGAAATGACTCAAAGGTCCCTCAACTAATAAACGGATAAACAAAATGTGGTATATCCGTGCAATGGAATATTATTTGGCATAAAAAGGAATGAAATATTGATAACATGGCTGAACCTTGAAAACATTATGCTAAGTGAAAGAAGCCAGTTACAAAAGATCACACATTACACATGATTCCATTCATATGAAATAAATGGAACAGGGAAACGTACAGAGTAGACTAGTGGTTACTTCAGGTTGGGAGAATGAGGGGATAGGGAGATGACTGTTAAAGGGTACAGAGTTTCTTTTGGAGAGGATAAAAATGCTCTAAAGTTGACTGTGGGGGACTTCCCTGATGGCGCACTGGTTAAGAATCTGCCTGCCAATGCAGGGGACACAGGTTCGAGCCCTGGTCTGGGAAGATCCCACGTGCTACAGAGCAACTAAGCCTGGGCGCCACAACTACTGAGCCTGTGCTCTAGAGCCCACAAGCCACAACTACTGAGCCCACGAGCCACAACTACTGAGCCCACTTGCCTAGAGCCCGTGCTCTGCAACAAGAGAAGCCACCTCAATGAGAAGCCTGCGCACCGCAATGTAGGGTAGCCCCCGCTCTCTGCAACTAGAAAAAGCCTGCGCACAGCAACAAAGACCCAACGCAGCCAAAAATTAAATAAATAAATAAATAAAAGTTAACTGTGGTGATGGTTGTAGACATCTTTAAAAAGACTAGAAACCACTGAACTACTTTAAATAGGTGAACTATGGTATGGGAACTATATTTCAATAATGCTGTTTAAAAAATACTTAAGTCAGAATGTAAATAATGAAATCAAGATGTTGCTAGGGTCTAGAATTCTGAAACTCTGCTTTAGGGGCCTGGCACAGGGTGCAGATTTATGACAGGTGAGACCAAAATGGCAGCTATGAGTCCTGCCAGGAGATAAGAACTCAGGTGCAACATCAGAATGAAGGTCTGCTCCTCCTTACAGATATCTCCACAAGCTGGTAATGAGAGGCTGTTTGGCGTTGATGCTATACTTACCTTCATATATGTGAGTAACTGTACTTAAAATTTGAGAGCCTACTATGTGCTAGAAACTATACCATGTGTTTTTAGGATAGTGACTGAGAGCATGAGTTCAGATGTGGGCTAAATTCACTTTTGGGCTCTATAACCCTGGAATAATTCATTAAACCCTTTGGACCTGAGTTCTTATCTTTAAAATGGGTTGTTCTAAGGTTTAAATGAGACGGTGCAGTTGGCACAATACCTAGTATATAGTAAATGCTCAACAGATGCCATCTCTCATAATGCTTGGTATACCGTTGACCCTTGAACACTGTGGGGGCGGGGGTAGGGTGTTGGAGGGTATTAGGGGTGCTGATGCTCTGCGCACTTGAATATCCATGTGTATGTAACTCATAGTCACTCCTCCATTTAGGTGGTTCCTCTGTATCCACAGTTCCGAATCTGCAGATTCAACCAACCATGGGTTGTGCAGTACTTCAGTATTTACTATTGGAAAAAAAAGCCCACGTATAAGTGGACCCACGCAGTTCAAACCCCTGTTGTTCAAGAGTCAACTATATATACCAGTTGTCATCCTCACAAAAACTGTATGAATCATTTTTTACTCTGTTAAAGCTCAAATAGTTTACCTGATATACCAAAAGTCACACAGCTAGAAAGAGACAAGCTGGAATTTGAACCCAGTTCTAGATACCTAGAAAGACCTGAGGTGTCAGCTGCACAAAGTTACACCCATTGCTGACTGAACTGTGCTTCTCTGAGTTGCCCAGTGCATTGTTTCAGAGATTCCTGACTGCACAGACTGCAGTCAGGATCACAGAAGACATAGAAGCTAATGGGGTTCTTCAAAGACAACTGACTTCATACCTTTGGCCTTTACATATATAGTTTATAGTTCTGCTCTCTAACTGGCTCAGTTTATTGGCCACAAGGAAAAAGGAAATCATTCTTTATTCTTCCACCAACGTACTTTCTCCCACAATTTATCCTCAGAGCACTTCTGTGATAATGGAATCTCAGAAGTGCAATACTAAGGAAAACCTTCTAGTTCACAATCCTTTCTTCATTTTATATGACTAGCACTATGATCTGCAAAGAGTAAGCACACAATAGTCTGTTGATAATGACTAACACCCAGAGAAAACCCAACATCAGGATTTAAGAATCTGTGAGGATAGTCATACCTTTTGAGACTGGACGACAGCTGCCAAATATCATCAGGATCCATCCCTGTGGGATCTTTCCTGTGGGCCACGAGAAAGATGCTCTTCTCCTTATATGAGGTATAAATGGTCAGGATCCCCATCATCACAAAATAGGTTCAGATAAAGTTAAGGGGAAAATACATAAACATACACACAAAAGAGAAATAACACAAACTGACAAGCAAGGGCTACAAAAACTTTCATAATGATAGTCCTAAAGAAGACAGTTTTGTCTTGCTGTAAAAACACTGAAAATTTAACTATTTCATTTTCATCCTTATGTTTATGCAAGAGAAGCAAGGCTCTCTCTGGTTAGTTCTGCAAAGAACATCTCAAAAAACAAGAAAGTTAAAAGGTACAGGGCATAAATCGGCTCTCATCTTTCTGTTCAAGGACAACATATATAAAGAGATCCTCTATTACCTAGTTTGTCAAGGCTTGTGCTTATTTCTCCGTACAATACAAAACTAATAATCACAGTGGACTTGACCACACTCAACCAATTTCAAGGGTCATTAAAAGAGGAAAACTGACTTCAAATTAGTTTACTATAAGAGTCTCATGCTCTACCAAATGAGCTAGCTGGGAGACTACCACAATTTAGTTTACTAGAAGGACAATTAATTCCTCCATACATGTAGGCTTATTATCATACTCAGTTTTTGACAGTATTAACTATCATAATAGTTGATTATGAGTACCTGTGTGCCAGAAACTGGCAAAAGAGCTTTGTGTACATGTGTCATTTAAATTTTACAAAAGGGACAGGCAGCAAAGTATAGTACAAAGTGTATGAGCTTTGGAGTAAAGTGGTCCTAGATTTGAACTCTGGCTTTTAACCAATGTAACCTTGACAAATTACTCCTTATCCCAAGGCTTAATATTGTCACCTTTAAAATGGGGATAAAACTGACTTTTTAGAATTGTCATGAGATTTAGTGATGGTATATATATTTTTAGTTTATACCACACAGAAGACATTTATAATGGTACTATTATTACGTATAAAAATGACATGATTATAACAATGGCAAGATCGTGTTTTGTTTTAAAACAAATATAATCAAACAAATGAAATTCCATCAAGGCCGTTCTCTTGGGAGGCCATATAATTATAATAAGGTTGCTGTTACTGTTCAAACATCTTTGGAACTCTTTTAAGAACTGTCTCTAGAACCTATGGCATATTCTTTTGAACTGCCTTAATAGTGAAAAAGTTCATACTGGGATGATTTATCTGATACTGTAAGCAGTCAAGGTGCAAATTCTGTGACTATAATTTGAGATCAATTTGGATAATACCACTTTTGATCAGGACCTGCTTTATTCAATGGCTTTCTAACTGCCTCTGAAGAAAAATCCCCGAAGTGGAATTTTTAGAAATATCTCAGGTGGTTGTAAGATTGTTATGAAAAGTAAACTGCCTACCAAAATGATCTGTTTTCAACAACTAGTACATATCAGTACATAGCAGACATGCAATAGCACGAGGTGGCTATTTAGAATGAGGTAGTCCTATATATACTAATATGGAAAGACATTCAATATATTTTTTAAGTTAAAAAGAAAAGTTCAGTATGTTTAGATTGACTTGGGGAGGAGGGAGTGGGGACAAGAAAACTATCAACATATTTAACTTTATATTCTAAATATAGTAAAAAATCTCTCATTTGAACTTTATAATAATTCTGAGTGTGTATTACTCATATTTATAAGTAAGCAGCATTCAGTCTCCAAAAAGTAATTATCACAAAAACAACCTGAAATTTCAAACCCAGGTTCTCTAGCTGTTACACAAGCCACACCTATACCTCATGCTCAGTAACTCCCAGTCTAGCCCCTCAGCTTCAGGGAAACCTGACACAGACCTGAACCTCCAAAATCTGATCCTTTCCTAAAACAGGTATACCTTGGAGACATTGTGGGTTTGGTTCCAGACAACCACAATAAAGGAGTGTCAAAATAAACTGAATCACACAAATTTTGTTTCCCAGGGCATATGAAAGTTATGTTTACATATACTGTAGTCTATTAAGTGTGTAGTAGCATTATGTCTAAAAAAGCCAATGTACACACCTTAATTTAAAAAGACTTTATTGCTAAAAAATGCTAACCATCATCTGAGCCTTCAGCGAGTAGTAATCTTCTTGCTGGTGGAGGGTCTTGCCTCAATGTTCAGATGGCTGCTGACTGAGCAGGGTGGTGGTTGCTGAGTGCTGGGGTGGCCGTGGCAGTCTCTTAAAATAAGACAATGAAGTTTGCTGCATTCATTGACTCTGCCTCTCATGAACGACTACTCTGTAGCATGCAGTGCTATTTCATAGCACTTGATCCGCAGAACTTCTTTCAAAATTAGAATCAATCTTCTCTCAAACCCTGCTGCTTTATCAACTAAGTTAATGTAATATTCTAAATCTTTTGTTGTCATTTCAGAAATCTTCACATTTTCACCAGAAGTAGATTCCAGCTCAAGAAGCTACTTTCTTTACTCATCCACAAGAAGCAACTCCTCATCTGTCAAAGTTTGATCATGAGATTGCAGCAATTCAGTCACACCTTCAGGCTCCACTTCCAATTCCAGTTCTCCTGCTGTTCCCACATCTGCAGTGTCTTCCTCCACTGAAGTAATGAACCCCTCAAAGTCATCCATGAGGGATGGAATCAACTTCTTCCAAACTCCTGTTAACGTCTGATATTTTGTCTGCTTCCCATAAGTCACAAGTGTTCTTAATGGCATCTAGAATTGTGAATCCTTTCCAGAAGGTTTCAATTTACTTTGCCCAGATCCATCAGAGGAAATCACTATTCATGGCAGCTACAGCATTACAAAATGTATTTCTTAAATAATAAAACCTGAAGTTGAAATTACTCCTTGAACCATGGGCTGCAAAATGGATGTCATGTAGCAGGCATGAAAACAACATTAATCTTGGTGTACATCTCCATCAGAGCTCTTGGATGACCAAGTGCATTGTCAATGAGTATTAATATCTTGAAAGGAATCTTTTTTTCTGAGTAGTAGATCTCAGCAGTGGACTTAAAATATTCAGTAAACTATGTTGTAAGCAGATGTGCTGTCATTCAGGTGTGCTGTGCCCAGACTTTGTTGTTCCATTTATAGAGCACAGGCAGAGAAGATACAATGTAATTCTTAAGGGCCCTAGGATGTTCAGAATAGTAAATGAGCAAGGACTTCAATTTAAAGTTACCAGCTGCATTAGCCTCTAACAAGTGAGTCAGCCTGTCCTTTGAAGCTTCTCTCTAGCTATGAAAGTCCTAGATGGCACCTTCTTTCAATATAAGGCTGTTTCACCTACGTTGAAAATCTGCTGTTTAGTATATATAGGCACCTTCATTAATTACCTTAGTTAGATCTTCTGGATAACTTGCTACAGCTTCTTGTACTTTTATGTTATGGAGATGGCTTCTTCCCTTAGACCTCATGGGCCACCCCATGTTAGCTTCAAACTTTTCTTCTGCAGCTTCCTCACCTCTCTCAGCCTTCTTAGTATTGAAGAGAGTTAGCACCTTATTCTGGATTAGACTTTGGCTTAAGGGAATCTTGTAGCTGGCTTGATCTTCTATTCAGACCACTAAAACTTTCTCCATATCAGGATTAAGGCTGTTTCATTTTCTTATCATTCATGTGTTCACTGGAGTAGCACTTTCAATTTCCTTCAAGAACTTTTGCTTTGCATTCACAACTTGGGTAACCGGCACAAGAGTCCTAGCTTTTGGCCTATATCAGCTTTCAACACACCTTCCTCACTAAGCTTAATCATTTCTAAGCTTTTGATTTAAAGTGAGAGACATGTAACTCTTCCTTTCACTTAAACTCTTAGAAGCCACTGAAGGGTTATTAACTGGCCTAATTTTAATACTGCTGTGCCTCAGGGAATAGGGAAGGCCCAGAGGAGGGAGAGATGGAGAGATGGCTGGTCTGGAGCAGTCAGAACACACACAACATTTATCGTTAAAATGTTAGTTGTCTTACATGGGTGTGGTTTGTGGTGCCTCAAAAAACAATTACAATAGTAAAATCAACGATCACTGATCACAGATCACCATAACAAATATAATGATCATGAAAAAGTTTGAAACATTGTGAGCATTACCAAAATGTGACAAAGATACAAAGTGAGCAAATGCTGTTGGAAAAATGGTGCCAACAGACTTGCTCAACACACAGGGTTGCCACAAACCTTCAATTTGTAAAAAAAAAAAAAAAAAAAATAATGCACTATCTATGAAGCACAATAAAGCAAAGTGCAATAAAGTGAGGTATACCTATACCCTAGCATGAGTGGCTTGAAGCAACCTGGTCTAATGGGTTAAGTTCTAGGCTAGAAATGAGAAGAGCTGGGTCTCACTATTCCTATGTGTTTTCCTATTAGGTGCTCACACTTGGATTATAACCTCTACATTAATAACTAAACAGAATTAAAGATAAAATAACTGTATTAATCTAAAATATCAATGATAATTATGACATAAATTTATAGATGCTCACATTTCATAATGTTAAATCGTAACATGAGCAGGCCCCAAGATGAAAGTTTGTTTTTTTGTAAGGAGCAGAGAAGAGTATCAGTAGAGATTTTAAAAAACTGTCAGTAGAAAACAAACCTGAGCTTAAAGGATATGATATAACACACAATGCCAAAACAGGTTTGGACTCTGGAAAGGGGTGCATATAATCCCAAATCAAAGCCACTATGGCGAAGAAACAGGAGATGGTACAGATGGTGAGGCGACCGTCAATTAGACCAAAATTCTCCACATACTTGTACTTTTCCAGAAGTACCTAGTGAGAAGAAGAAGGAAGCAAGCTAGTAGGAATACCTCCCTCTTTGTATCTGCTTTTACTCTTAATTTCCATGATGAAAGTTATGTTAATCATATAAATGACCAAGTTGTTATCTCCAATCAGAATTTTGCCACTCCGAGCAAAAAAAAGATTCAACCTGTTTACAAAGATCCCAGAGAAAAAGTTCATTAACTTCTCATACATTTTTTTTTTTTAAATCCTCATCTATCTAGAATGAAGCTAAACTTTTCTTTTCCCTTTTAAAATACAGAGATGACCCATCATGGCTGAATGTCCTATATTCCCTCAACCCTCTTGCCTCTAGGCTAATTAACCTCAAAAATGATAGATTACCAGCTTTCTGGAATTCAAAAATTAGAGATTCTGAAGAGAAATTTGAGGTAACTAACAATTATATTTTAACACCTGTTCCCCTATATACACTGTAAGGATTTTAGAAAATGCTTTCTGGCTCAATTCCTAACACTGAAAACTAAAGTCATTCTAAGTCATAGAAGGAAAAAACCCTGCAAGAGATGTGCCATCAGCTGTATACATAGTAACAGACTCCCCGCTCCCCACCCCCAAAGAAAGTACCTTTTTGGCAGAATCATCCAAAGAATTTTTCACAGCTGATCCATCCCACTTGTCAATTTTTACAGGCTTATCATCAATCTTCCACTGTAAAACAAACAGATAAGTTGTACATTAAGGGATATGGCATCTTCCTAAAAGTAAAATGTACTTCCTTAAGAGCATTCTCAAGTATATATAACATTTACTCCCTCTTCTGATGTTGGACAGCTAAAAGACAAAACACTCGAAAATGAAGTTGAAGGAGACTAGGTCACTAGAATCAGGTGGTACTCGTATGATGCTGCCAGTCTCCATGCTAGAAAGTCAATGTACAAGGCCAAAACCAGGACATTTACATAGGCTGCAGAGACTATAGTGTGAACTCAAATATCCCATCCCCATTTTACTAAAATGTGGGAATAGAAAGGAATTGCACTTATTCATCCTTTCATTCTGTGACTACAAAACCCAGACAATAAACATCCATGAACTTTCGGATGCTAACAAAATGACAAAGGTCTCCTTTAATACATTTCTGTCTGCTAACAACTTTTATATTTTATCAGCATGTCTTAACTGTAGGAAAACAGCAAATCCAGTGTAGTCTGTTGGAAAGAACATTTTGAACTAAGTCCTATCACCAGGTAGGTACATGACTTTGTTCTGACTGAGAACAAGTTCAGAGATGCTGCATCCAAGAAATAAAGATGGAACAAACATCTGTAAAACGTGAGAAGATTTTAAAGGAGTGTAGAAATATAATTCATCAAACTTAATTTTGTGATTCTATATACTATTACACAAAAAAGAAAAACTATTCTGTGAAGTTTGTTGGGGGAAAAAACATGAACTAAAACAGCCATACCTCAAGTGATTAAAACTCAATCAAGGCCTTTCCCCTTTGTGTCTCATAAAAACAAGAATTTTCTTTGAGAGAATTACTAGTGGAAGCATGTTGTAATGATGATTCTCATAGCCTGCCAGCCTACAAATCAAACATGACACTTAATTTTAAAAATACAAATTAAACCAAGAAGAAATTCACAAGCTATCTAGCTAAATAGCTCGCTTACACTTAGTTTAGTAAATCCCATTTTGACAATAGCAAGCAAAAGAAAGAACCTGTATAGCCAGAATCCATAACAGAATTTGAATTATTTGTGAATCAAAGTCATTAAAAATTTTTTGGCTCGTTCCAAAAAAAAAAAAATTATGTTCTCAGAGAAACCCAGCCACCCATCACTACCTGCAGTGCGTCACAGAAAAGAAACTTGCCTCTACAATTCAGAGGATAACTTCTTGGCAATATTGGGGGATAAAACAGAGAAGAAGCCGTTACAACATGTGCTAAAATAGTCTCAGCTCTAACTCCACTGGTACCTAGAAGGATCTTCAGTAAGTGGTCAGGAACATTTCCAGTGAATTACATAAACAAGAAAGTTTATAATTGATTTCTGAAGAGATAGGAGCATCATCCATTCTGTGTAAATGAAAATCCTTAGCCTATATCAAAGCAAATAGCATCTCTGCTGTAGTACAGAGACACATCTGGAAAAAAGGCAGGAAAATGGACATTTTCCATCATTCTCAAAAGCTGCCCATCAACTAAAATGTACGATACTGGTCATGTACTCTCTACTGCTATTCAGGACTGTCTTCTTTTCCTCACTCTTCTCTTCCTCAACCCTAAGTGCAAATTACCTTCCTTTTGTAAGGATGTGGTAACTCTGCACTCAATTCCTCTTCCCCGCATTCCCTCCTGTGTATTATAGATATGTGTATATTGAGCACAATCAACAACCACAAGTATTGACTTATTTAGTTATTATTTGCACCAACATCATACATATATATATATGGTTTAAAGAGTTCTGTAAGTTATAAAAAAAAAATAGCAGTCCTGTTTCCCCTCTCCTTAAGACTCTTTCTATTGTCATTTTCCACTCTCCAGAGACAGGCACTAATTTCAACTCCTTTGGCTGATTTTTTGGGTATCCACATCTCTGGGTGAAAAAAAAGTTTATATTATTATTTTCAGTTCTCAGCATTAAATCTATTGACTTTTCACCATGAAAGAGGAGATTTAACCACTTCATCCCCTGCCACTTTCACATTTATTTTTCCTGCTCCTCCCTCACCATCTTTTTAATATAGTTATAGTAGATCAATATTGATTTGGTCTTATACCTTAGTTTTTGCTAGTTCATTATTTGGAGTTTACAATATGACCATAAATGCTATTCACAGATGAGTCATGTATATTAGGATTACTTTTTCTTTCCTGCACAGCTTTTTGCTTTTCTTGGAGCTACTATTGTTTTTGTTGCTGTTTTTAATCATACAACGTATTTCTCACCAATATATTCTCAAATTCTCCCTCAACTGTTTAACTCTCCTTTCAGTATTTGCAATCATATTCAGCATTCTGTGAATTTCATCTTCCTGAAGAAATCTCTTGGAGCCTTCTGGACTGCTTCAATCTAGGTGGATTTCTTTCCAGTCCTGCTGTAATAACTGTCATCCTGGAATCTCCCTTTACTATGACCCGGGGAGTTCCCTTAACCTCCTCTTGGGCTAATCCCCCTTTTCTTAGATACCATGACTTACTCTTTTCTTGGTTTACTATTCCAGCCCCTGTCCATCATCTCCACCCTCCTCCCACCACTCAAATTTGTAAATTGAAACCCTAAACCACAATGTGACGGTATTAGGAGGTGGTGCCTCTGGGAAGTAATTAGGTCACGAGGGTAGAGCCTTCGTGAAAGGGATTAGTGCCCTGATAAAAAGACATGAGAGAACCTGCTTTTACTCTGTTTTAACCATGTGAGGATACAAGAAAGTTGTCTGTAACCAGTTAAGAGCGCTGTCGCTAGACCCAACCATTCTGGCACCCTGATCTCAGACCTCCCATCCTCCAAAGCTGTGAGAAATAAAGTTTGGTCGTTTAAGCTATCTAGTCTATGGTATTTTTGTGAGAGCAGCCCAAACTGACTAGCATCCTCCTTTTACAGATAACACTAAGGGTTTAAGAAATTTGCCCAAGGTGAAAGCTAGGAAGTGGTAAAGCTGGGACTCAATCAAGTTTTCATAATTTCAAAACCTGTGCTCAAGGGGCTTCCCTGGTGGCGCAGTGCTTGAGAGTCCGCCTGCCGATGCAGGAGACGCGGGTTCGTGCCCCGTTTCGGGAGGATCCCACATGCCGCGGAGCGGCGGGCCCCGGGAGCCATGGCCGCTGAGCCTGCGCGTCCGGAGCCTGTGCTCCGCAAATGGGAGAGGCCACAGCAGTGAGAGGCCCACATAACGCAATAAAAAAAAAAAAAAAAAAAAAAAAAAAAAAAAAAAAAAAAAAAAACCTGTGCTCTTTCATTATTCTACACTGCTTCCCACAAAATATAAGGAAAGGAATTATTAGCCATAAAAACAAAAGGACACAGACCCCTGAAGTGACAGCCATACAAAGTATCTTGATTCTTATCTAATAAGTTATAGTTAATAACAAAAAAAAATCTTAAAAAGATTTTAATCTTGAATATGCCAACAAAACCTGCAGGATACAAAATATTTGGAATTTTCCATTTTCCTCCATTTAAAACCAACTGCTATTTGACTGAAAATATAGTTCAAAAAGTCCTATCTTAAAGAAATTACTTCCCTGCCACTATCACCATAAAACACTTTATCAAACCAGCACACTGATGCCAGACCTGGATGACAAACCATACACAAAAATTATGCATTTGATGGCTTTGATAGAACATTACAAAGACTCACTTCAGTTATTCTCCACTGCAAATTTGAATAATAAAAAGATTTTAGTAGCAGTGAAAACAGAAGTAAAGCTATGCAGTGATAAAGACCTCAGTGGATTGCTTCATAAAGTTCCTTAGCTTGACAACTGGGCAGTAAGACTCAAAGGATTCCTCAATTCACACTGAAGAGATGAAGGGTACCAGAAGTAAGCTGTGCCAATGGAAGGACCCTGCTCTGATTTTAAAAGAACTGAGCATGGCTCTAACAAAAATTAATAAACCTTTTTTCTCTCTTCTTTGGTCTCTCTCAGTTTACAAAGTGGATGTAGGCTGCAAAGGGGGAAGGTAGTAGGAGATGAGGCACATGACAGAGGGAGCATATCCTAGATGGCCTTATTTACTAGGCTAGGGGACTTGGGACCTTATTCTGAAACAAGCAGTGGAGAATATTTTAAGCAGGTGAACAACACAATCAAACTTATGTTTTTTTAAAAAAGTCATTTTTAGTGGCAACCTAGCAGATGGTCTGGAGGGGAGTAACAATGGAGATAAACACATCAGATGGGGCCTGATTTAGATGCAGGGCCTGAATTAGAGCAGCAGCAAGGAGATGAAAGGGCATTATTTATGAGGTAGAACTGGCATGACTTAACATCAGACTAGTTACAAGAAACATGAAAGAGAGAAGATAGAGATGACCATTCTACTAGAATTTGGGCTTAGATAACTCTGAGCTGTCATATTATTTTCCAAGAGAAGGAACAGAGGAGGAAAAAGGAGAAATACCCATTTGTACATGATGAGTTTGAGATGTTTAAGCTCTACAGTTACATTGATTTCAGAATTTTCTAAACCAAAATAAGATTATGAAAACTGATGGCAGACCCAGAAGCTGAGATACTATTTGAGTTGGAAATACACACCCCTACCTCCCATATGCACTCATTTGGCAAAAGATCAGAAAGCAGTAAATTCAAAATAAGGAAAACATGTTCAATTTGGGGAGCAAACGATGTCTGTCTTGAGAATGCTTACTATCATCTAATTTAGATTCCAATTAAGAAATACCAGGATATCTCAAAGAGAGATATTATAGCTCCTGGCAACATACTTAATCTTCAATTTCCATCTATTTTTTATAAAAATGGGCAAGAAATATTGCAAAGAAAATTACTTGCTTAATAGTGGCTTATTATTGGCTGCAGTTATCACTGGAGTTAAGTTGGAAGTTAGAAATGACCACACGATAATTATGAGCATGAGTATTACTGGCAACACCAGAGTAACTGGAGGTAAGTAGACTGGCTCTGGCTACTTAAGTCTAACGTACCTAACAGATATCAAAGTGGAGATGGC